CCCCCTCCCCCACAGAACCGGCTTCTGGGCTCAGCGTTGGATGCCATGAGCACCAGCGCCCCCTCACTTCAGCCCTCCTCCTCCGCTCCCGCAGGTTTGTTACCAATGCCCCCCCCCAAGCTTGCCAGCTGAAGAGCTGATCTTTGTTTCTGTTTTTTCCCTGAGAAATATTTTGTCGTGTGTGTGTGTGTGTGTGTGTGTGTGTGTGTGTGTGTGTACACTGCGAGGCATTTTGAGGCTCAAAATTTCTAAGACAGCAGTACACAAGAACAAGGTGAAGCAGGAGACACTGGCAACGACCAAAAACCAGTCAAGTACAGGGCAGAAACGACGTTCTGATGCCGGAGATGACGGTCAACTTATCCAGCAGTGCCTCATAAATCGGAGGCTGACCTCAAGTGATCTTCAAAAAGAATGGGAAACAGTGCAGGTGTGAGGTGCACTGCTAGGACAATTCCCAACATGCTACTAGAAGGAGGACTGAAGACCCATAAAGCAAGAAAGAGAAGCAGGGAAGAGCCAGGCTGCAGTAAAATGTGTATTTTACACAGGCGCAGATGCTAAATTGAGAAATGACTGCAACTGAAAATTTTGCTTAATTTTTTCAGAGCTGTCTGTGTGCCTGAATAATGTATAAAATGTGTGTCTGTTTGTGTAATTATAATTATATAAATGATATTCCTTTTTTTCCTCGCCATGCTGTAATTCTTTTAAATCTGTGCTGCTGAGAGCAGCTGGAGCATTAGTTAGTCCTTTAGTTAGTTGGTTAGACAGTCAGTCAGTCAGCCAGCCTGCTTGTTTGCTCTGCAGACACGGACCCACGCAGACGCAGGACAGGGCGCAGTCCCTCCCCGCCACGCTGCTCTGTCCCCATGGCCTCCTGCCGTCACCCTGCCGCAGGGTCATGTGGGAGATCGCGCTCAACAGCAGGTCAGTGCCTCCCCTCGTTAGCCGCAGTGTGTCCCCGAGGAGGAAGAGGAATGGAGGAGGAAGAGGAGGAGGACCAGCCGCAGCTGGTCCTCCTCTTCTGTGGGTTTCGGGGGGGAGCCTAACAGGTGGGGGGTTAGGATGGCCGCTCAGTCCCTCTGCCTGCTGTGTGGCCTGCTTCACAAACACACCATGCCACCCTCCCCAAGGGTGAGAGTGTGTCCATGGGAACGGAGTCTCAGCCTCAGGCCCCCCTCCCATGCAGAGACGTGTGTCACATGCGTGACGTCCCTGTGCTGGGTAAATGATAACACACGCTTACATGAATGTTGCCTATAGGGTGTCCTGTCCTGGCACCAGAGGTGGACATTTTGGGTCCAGAAAGTAAAAATCCAAAACAAGATTTTGTTTTGATGAACCAGTTGCGTATAAAGAGTCACAGTCACACTGGTTCACTGGTTGGTTGAAACAAAATCTTGATTTTTACTTTCTGGTCTTGAAATGTCCGTCTCTGCCTGGTACTAATCGTTAAAGGTTGACTGTTGTTATGCTAGTGATTAAAATGCAGTTGCCATGGTTTCAAGGTATGTGGCTTTCAGTATTCTGGCAGGGTTAGGTGTTGCCCCCCCCCCAGCCAGGGGCGGGTGTGTGCGAACGAGTGCACCTGACTGACAGAGCGGGCCCTGTTTCGTTCAGGCCGTCCTGCCGCCTCCCACAGTAACTGCAGCTGTACCCCCCCCCCCAGCCCTTCCATGGCAACCAGGAGATGTGACTTCCCTCCTGCAATCTGTGCCTTTCCTTTTCCGTTCCCCGGTGATCAGCTCTCACAGCACTCAGAAGAGGCTGTCAAGGCCCCCAGTGCTCTCTGCCCGTCGCGCTGCACCGTCTGGGATGCACGCCTGGCTTGTATGTAATAATCACTTAAAACTCCCAACATGAATCTTGTAGGTGAGTAAGCAGGACTTCAGGTTGTTGCTAACTGTCCATAACACTGTCATTCTCCTGTCCTGCCCAGCCGCATGGCCGGCCTGCGTGTGCCGGCGCTCCTAACTACCCCCCCTCCCCCCCAGAAACTAAACATGGCTGTGTTGCCGGAGGGAACCAGAACGGGAGACTGTTAATGGCATGGATGATGACTATTTAAGATTGATTTATTAAGTGGGGGGGTGTGTTTACTGTTTTTTTTCTGCAGCTTTATTGAGGCATTGGAGGAGAAATCATGATAATTACAGGATGCATGATGTACAGCATTAGATGGCTTTTCAGAGCATTCATTCATCTCCCAGTCACTCTCCAGCACTCATTGTGCACTCTGAAACTAGCCTTTTCTGAATGGCCTTGCATCGAGGGTTGGAAATTAGTTGGCCTTGTCTCATTGGCTGTAATTCCGCCTTGCGCCATTTGATGGCAGTAGCGCTCTCCCGCAGGAGATCTCCTTTGTCGGGAAATGTAGCTTGAAATACAAAGGAAAACGGCAGGGGCGCGTACGTATAATCTCATCTAGAGTTTAACTGCTCCCCTACAGCTCTCCTCTGCTCCTATAGCTTTGTTTTTGTATGTTTACGTCTGCATAAAATGGCAAGTCTAAGCGTCCTGTTGCAGGATGGGCTATGTCTGCAGGTGTGTTTTCGGGGACGGCTGCTTGGTGGGAGCCGGTAGCGCGGCAGCAGGGGGACACACACGGCTGATTGCCTTGTCACGAAAAGACACAGCAACCCTGAAGTCACTGTGTGTCCCCAGTCAGCATTGAGTGCACCAGGCTTTTATAATGTGCGACCTCATGGATGGATGGATTGGCCGCTTGCCGGCTGTGTTCTCCTTCGCAGTCTGCGGTTCACTGGGGTCTTGTCCTCTTGGACAGTATCTAAATGAGATCTGGAGTGGAAGAGCTGCCTCTCGCCTCCGAATCTCGCCTCCTTTCCTCCGGTCCGCGGTCATGCTTGAATATCGAAGTCGCCCCCCCCCCCCCCCAAATAAATAAAAATAAAGGGGGGGATGATTACTATGGCTGCCTGCCCTGTCTCTCTCCACAGGCTTTGGAATCCACACTATAGGACACTATAAATGTTAATTGGAACCAAGCTGGCCCAAAGCGCTGCGTTTTCTCTGTGACTGTCCCTTTTCCAGCACGTTTCAAACAAAGGGTCTGTGCGTGCACACACACACACACACACACACACAGACCCACACTCACGTGTGTGTTTGCACTGCTGTCTGTGTATCATCTTCCCATTGATCCCAGCGTGATTTATGGCTCCCAGCCCTGTTTCTTGGGGATGTCCCCACAACGTTGAGGTTTCCTAATTTCCAGGGATATTTTGGCAACCTTTGCCCTCTCCTCTGCCCTTCTGCCCATGATAGAAGCATATTAAATGTTAGCATGTTTTACAAAGGTGTCATTATAAACCTTGACAGAAGCTGCGTTTTAAATGTGTGAAACGCTCATTAGCTTGCACTATCCTGGGGCCTTGCAGTGGGCAGCCGCATGGATCTGAATGGAGGCTTCCTGTTTTGGGTGGGGGTGACATGTTTCTTACCCGAGTCAGAGTGAACGGGATTAAAGCTACAGCCATAAACATGACTGTGGTACCATGGTTACTGCTGCACGGTATACAGCCTGTGGTCTTTATCATTGAAAGCGCCTTTGTAATGGGGACCTAGCAAGCTGGGCCTGGTGTCTCGGCACTTCCCTGCAGGATAGTCACACAGCCCACGGCGCCGGGCCCGGATGGACGGCTCCGCTGGTCCCCTGCTGACCTGTAATTACAGCGCTGGCCCTCGCCCGGCTGAAAGGTCAGTGCCGGGCCGCTGCGACGCCCTTTATGAAGGCTGGGGCAATTTTCCTCTCCGAATGTAATCTGCCTCCCTGAAGCCGAGCCAGCCAATCTCCCAGCACCCCCAGCCCCAGCACCCCAGAACCGCTTTCCTGGAATCAGAGCTACAGCCTGCTGGGGATGATGGATGTGTGTGTGAGTGGAGAGCTAATTATGGCACAGAATGTAGCCTTTACAAGTGCAGGTGCCTGCTTTCACGTCTCTGCTGTTCCCAGCCTGTCCTTACTTCCTGCCTCCTCCTCTCTCTCTCTCTCTCTCTCTGCCTGTTCCCACCTCCCTCAGCCTCCCTGTCTTTCTCTGGTTGTACATCATCTGATTAAATTCCCCGTTTGCCAACCCTGTAGTCCATCTTGTTCTGCATGCCAAAATTCCAGGTTGTGTTGGACAAAATTATAGGAAACAGAACGTGCAGCATCATACAGCCAGTATTGTCTTGCTGCTTCAGTAAAGAAGGCTTGGGCCTTTCAGAAATTACACATCAACCTACATCCATAAATGTTGTGCTGTCAAATATGTTAGTTACCTTCTAGTGTGTTATGCCCACTCGGAGTAGTATTTCTACAAATGCTGTGCTTTGATATATTAAAGGATTTGATCATGTGCTTGCCCGGGGTCATTGTGAAGAATAGCCACCATTCCAACTGGACGGGTTTAAAATTGCTTTAAAAATGAAGAAAAAACAATCTGCCTTGCTAAACCTCCTGGGCTGTCTGCATGTTCTGTGCCGTGCTTTGAGCTACTCATTCATTTTGAAGAAAGGAAGCAATCACAGATTTCAGCTACATGTGTCCCATCGCAGGCGCAAAGCAGAGACTCTGCCATAGAAAAAAGGTCACGTCTGCGTGTGCCTGCACTCTTGGCCGGGCCTTGAAGGGAAAATTCGGTGCAGGACTGGGATACAATCATGGGCATCATGTGAATTTCCAGAGGAGCCACAATGCATCGTGGGTAACCTGCTGTTATTGGCATGGCGGTGAGTGTGAGCGCCTGAGAGGTCCCTACGGTCTACAGCGAGACGCTTCCCGCTGCACGTTTGGTAGTAAAACTGTGGGGGTGGGGAGGGGGGTGCATGCTAGACACCTTATTACTTCAGTTTGATTTGCAGATGCTGTTATGCGCTGGTTGCCGTGGCAACCGAGCGTGGCTGCCGTAGCTAGAAACCTCCACGCCGCCGACCGCTGGACCATTCCTCACCCTCCTCGGGGATGTGCTATTTTTACCTCCGGTTTTATTGCGTTTCCTGAGTATGTCAGAGCCACGATAACCGTTACCTTGAAATTAAATATGGGGCACTCTTGGGGGTGGGGGGTGGA